AAGCCATCCTGAACCATGGGAACAATGGAGAGGACTTACTGTGTGCCTCTAGTCTGTCTCCCTTGACCCTGAGAGGAGATACCACTTCCTCTTCTCTTAGTTCTGTACAGCTCAGCCTGACCTTGACGTTCTTGGGAAGTTGTTAGAATTGTATCAGGTTAGTATCAAATCTATTCATTACTAAGCTGATCAGATCCCATTTCCTGACTTGTTGTCATTGGATACTTCACATTTAGTTTACTCTGAAATACGCATTCAAAAAAGGAAAGACAAAGTCTTTTTGGATGCTATGTTTCAGTGTGTTTTGTGATCTTAGTGGTTTCTGCTAATTTTAAAAAGCAGTGAGTTGGTGGTAGGGAATAGCTGTTCTCACAGAATGTGTCTTTAAATGTTCTGGAAAACGGTATCAACAAACAGAGCAAACATCAAGAGCTTGAATCACTGGATTTTTATACAACACAATGCCCATGGTAGACAAATACCAAAAACCAAAAAGTGCCTAAAATGTGAATTTTAAAAGGAAGGTAAAGAAGAAGGAATGAGTCAAAAAGGAAGGGAGAAGGGGAAGAAGGAAACAGAGGGGGAAAGGAGATTGAAGCGAAGAAAGAAAGGAAAGAAAAATAAAATGGAATTGAGAGTCCTATCCTTTAGAGACAAGAGAAAGTGCAGGTAGAATTTTATGGTGGGGTTCATTTCTGCCTTGCTTCCTGCCCGGCTTCTGTAGAATGGCTCTTAATCATGGTGGCAGTGATTCTGATTGCAGGGCCGCCTTTGCTGAAGAAAATCTGGGCCATCAAGGTGTTGAGGATAAAGCAGTGATCACAGACTTACACCCTCATCAACTGGGATATGCCCTCCCATTTGAGATGCTCTGGTTTGTGTTGATCTCCATCTGATAGAGTTAGGGATGGGTGGAAGTCCCAGTCAGCATCAGGGTGGCAAAAAAGTATGCCCAAGAAGTATGCCTTTCTTGGCTCTTCTGTTTTCCAGGTACCCACAGAAGGCAGGAGTGCATGGTGAGCCACTCTGCCAGCACTAGGCACTGTGCATTCCACGGCCAATAAGACCCTCTCAGATTTCTAGAAGAAGTCAGTCCAGTGGGTCTGCTTTACATGGATCCCCACTACCTCCAAGTCATCTTTTTATTGCCAATGAAAGAGACAGGTCCAGGGCATCCCTGGGTATTAGGCCACACTGATTCCTGGTGGTGGTGATGGACGTAGTGTTAGAGGTGGTGCTGGTGCTGGTGCTGGTGCTGCTGACAGTAACGGTGGTGTGATAAGGTGGGGGAGGCCAGCTTGCTCTAAGGTGCTCAGAATATGGCTCTTCAATTACATGGATCCATTTTTGGTGCTCTTGAGTCTTTTCTGTAAATTCTACTTTCCATATGGAGTCATTTCCCTTTGGCACGAAGAACATCTTTAGCATACTACGTAGTGTAGTTCTGCTGGCTACAGATTCTCTCACTTAGGCATCTATGAATATGTCGTTATTTAGCCCTCATTTTTGAAGGCTATTCTGGTCTCCTCTTCTGCAGTCCCCAGGCAACCGCTGATCTGCTCTCTGTCACTATAAGTTATATTTTCTAGAATTTCAAATAAATGGAAACATACAATATGTCATTTTTATGTAGCTTTTTTCATGCAGAATAATTTTAAGATCCATCCATGTTGTGTGTACATCACTTGTTTATTCCTTTATAGTGCTGAGTAGTATTTACTGTGTAGCTATACACAATTTGTCACCTGTTGATAGACATTTGGGAGTTTCTGTTTTTTTAGCAATTACAGATAAAGTTGCTATGAATATTTGAGGTCAAGTCTTTGCATAGGAATGTGCTTTCTTTTCTCTTGGGTAAATACCTGGGGGTGGCAAACTGGATCATATGGTAGGTGTGTGTTTATGTTTTTACCGAACTACTGTTTTGCAGAGTGGTTATACTATTTTACTTTCTTACCAACTGTGGTAAATAATCAGAGGTCCACAATTCAATAAGGCTCTCCTTACTACCAATCTTTCCATTCTTCTCATATTTGCCGTACACAGCCACAAATTGAATTCCAAGTCATTGAACACAGACTTTCTTGTAAGGGCAAGGAGTTGTTCTGGAAGTGGATCCAGGGTTATGTGGCAGAGAATTCTGTGGCTTGGGGAACTTGAAATGTCTTCTGGAGAGGGGAGGTTGTGGCCATAGGTAAGCATGTTCCCTTGGCTCAAAAGATTTTTTGTTTGTTTGTTTGTTTTGCTTTGTGAAGGGACTTGGCCAAAGGATGACCAGAAGGGAGCCTTGAAAGCATGGAGCTCAGGACAGTGTGTCTTGCTTAGGTCCAAGTGCTATACTGTTCTAATCCACCCAAATTCTACTAACGATCTTAAAAAACCCATCCGACATCCTTACTCGTGTATCTTCTGTCCTGTGGCAGTTCTGTGTGTCCCCCTCCTCTCCGTTGTTTGCTGTTTCACTTTCTGTGTCTCACTTTCCCAATTTATGCATACACTTTTCAATCAGCTACTCTGTCTCCCTCTCCTTCATATGTATGACAAAAGTACATGAATGCTGTTCAAAACGGTGTCAGTGAAATGCATGGAATTTGTTGTTTTTTTCTCTGCTGCTAAATTGGTGTTAGTCTTCAGACATTGTCCAGGACACTTGACATTTACACACAGAATCTAGTGTGCAGCTAGCACTTCCTGGCCCAAGCTCTGCCTGGTTAGCCTTCGTAATCTCTGACCCCAGTTGACTAACCCTGCAGACCTCTCTGTGCTTATGCTTATGTTTTATTATTCCAGCGTGAACCTTGGTTTGTTTCCCTGACATCAACTCATCTCATCTTTGCCTTTTTAGACTACTTCCTTACTAACTATATTAAGTAACTCAGAAATAAAGGAGAATTTTTATCAGGTTTCTGCTTTTCCCAGCATTGGCTGTGGTTCTGCCTGTCAGATAGGTCACTAGAGACTCTGGCCATTAAAACATTTCCCAGGGGAGTCACGCATCAATGAGTTTATCGAGGTTAATCTCTCTTTCTGATGTGTTCTTTCTTTCATTCTCCATCTGGAAAATGTCTCCAGTCTTTCAAAAGTCACAGCATCATCTCTTCCTAGAAGCCTTCACTTTTTAAGAGATCTAAATTAAAGTATGTTTCTCTATCCTTTATGGCACATCTTGTAAATATTTAAGACACTAGCATTGTCATTTTTTGTTTTTTTGTGTATTACTCTCTCTCAACTAAAACTCTGTGAAGATGAGGACCACATCTCATTTGACTTTGTTTTTTAGCATTTAACAGAACTAGTATATAAAATCCTCAAATACTTGGTTAATGAATCAATAAATTAATGAAGGAATGGAATGCCTCTTTTTATTCATCTCTTTCATTTTCTGTTCTCCGTGTCTTCCCTTCTTTTACTGTTGTTTCTGTTCTTCTTCCACTGTGACTTAATTTTGCAATATAGAAATAATATGGGCTTTGTGACCTTTAACTAGAGTTTTCTTAGCTCTACAAATGTTGGAAAATGGATTTTGAACCTTAGCAAACAAGCTGAAATGGTTTAAACATTTATTTTTGGGTGCAGTGATAGAAGAAAGATTTCACTGGTATTTGTTATGATGGTGAGTACATTTGTGAGGGGAACATTCTTTGCTCAAGACTGAGACGCCTCTGGACAGATCTGCCCCCACTCTAAAGCAACACAGATCATATTCTGTCGCTGAGATCTCAGATAACTGACCTTCCTCACATCTGGGGAACTCCTGAGATGGCCTACATAGAAACCAAAGAAGAATATACTGTTAAAAATTTTCAGGCTTGGTTTAGCCCAGATATTTTTCATAAAGGTATTATGAAATAATGAAAATAAAGTTGCTAATATGCTGCCCAGCGATAGTAGGTGCCAGTAAATGTTAGTCTTTAATCCTCATCCTCTTTCCCAAGCTTACTAAAGTTCCCAAAGACATAAGTTTCCTTGAAATTTCTCTCAGGATCAGAGTCACAAATAAGGAATAGGTCCAAGTGATATGTGCCAGGCACCAAACGTGTAGCTCCTCTTTTCAGATGCCAGCAAATTAATCATCTGCTTTGGCACGTACACATTTTTGAGACTGAGATGCTCTTGGTGTTGCTGTCGAATGTAATGTGTGCTCCACATCAGCTTCTCGAGGCTGTCATGCTCGGCTCATACAGTCAGGGACCAACCCGCTGGCCCAAAATCCTCAGCAGAGATCCCTTTCCTGGAAAGACTGGTAGTGTTCTGACTTCTCCTCCGGTTGCTTGAGGAGGTGCTGCAGACCTCTGTGGCAGGGCTGGGGAACACTGAACGGGTATTTTGAGCAGTGTGAGAGCTGACCACGCTGGCAGTATTCTAGCTACCACCTGAGTCCCACCTAAAGTGACTAATTAATCTGGTGTACCCAAGTGGCACTATTTACAGTAATAACAAGTAGATGTTAATGTGTAAAAAATAGTTTGAAAACAAACAAAACATAAATAGGAAAAATAGCTGTAGTGCTCAGTTTCCTTACTTGAAAAACAAGTTTTTCAAAGTTTTAGATTCAGTTTTACGAAATACAATTCAGCTGAATTTCCGTTTAAAAAACTGTATTTATTAATATATTTTGTGGAAATAGACATTCTCTTTTGCCTACCCACAACTGTTAATTGTAACAAGGGAAGTTGCTTATGTTCAGCTTTGCCTATAAGCATTTTAGAGGTAAAGTAGAATTTAGGTCAGTAACCCTTCAATGTTTAAATGCACCAAGCCTGTTCTCTAGGACTCCTCTTGCTTAAGGAAATAAGAGGAATTGTTTTCTTCCAAATATTTACAGGCTTATGAAAGGCAAGGATGCATTTATTGGTCCTCTTCCCTTAAGTCTTTGCAGTCAAAAGTCCTTGAAGCTGGGTCCCTTGGAGACTATCAATTACATGTTGGTAGTGGCTTGTTTTGAGAGTTTAAAAAAAAGAGAAAAAAACACTTAAATCATTTTTTCTTTCTCTTTTTAGGAGCATCTAAAGGCCTTTGATGATGAAATCAATGCTTTTTTGGACAATATGTTTGGACCGCGAGGTCAGTGAACTACTTGAGAACTTAATGTGGAAGGAACACAAGGAAGAACACCATTTACTTATAGAAAGGGATTATGTTATTTCTGGGGTCTTGGAAATAGTAAGGTACTTAATATTTAGAAACTTAACTTCCTCAACTTTGATATCCTTCCAGAATGTCCAGAAGATCCCATTTCTCCTCCTGCTCAGCCTCTCCCAGGATTAAAGTAGTTCTGGGAACAGGAAGCAGAGACAGAATGAAATGCAGTGCTTTCCTCCAGTGTCTGTCTGGCTACAAAGCTGAGTTGTAACTTTCCTTCTAAACTCTGCTGCTTTCTTGCTTCTCTCCACCACCCATTCATCTTCCACCTTCCTCACGTGCAAAGTCATATGTGACATTTCTGCCCTTAGATGCCTTGATAAATTCCCTTTGAAGATGTGTGTGCTGGCAGGGCACAGTGGCTCATGCCTGTAATCGCAGCACTTTGGGAGGCTGAGGCAGGCGGATCATGAGGTTAGGAGTTCGAGACCAGCCTGAGCAACATGGTGAAACCCCATCTCTACTAAAAATACAAAAATTAGCTGGGTGTGGCGACAAGCGCCTGTAATCCCGGCTACTCAGGAGGCTGAGGCAGGAGAATCACTTGAACCTGGGAGGTGGAGATTACAGTGAGCTGAGATTGCACCATTGCACTCCAGCCTGGGTGACAGAGTGAGACTCTGTCTCCAAAAAAAAAAAAAAATCCCAGGGCCCATAGGATGAGCTTAGATATTTCCTCATCTTTGCTTCATCACCAGTCACTTACTCTACTGCAGTAGCCTCCTAATGGGTCTCCCCTCTTCCACTTGTGCCCCCTTCCAGCCATTTATTCAGTGTCAGCTGGAATGATATTCTAAAGACTAAGTCATATTGTGTAGTGTACTGTAGCTTAAAACTTATCAATGTCATCCCACTGCTCTCGGGTGAAAACCAAACTTTGTGTCACGGACTGCGCACCCTTGGGCTGTCTAACCCCAGCAACTTCTCCAACTCAGTCAGTGTCTGTCATCCTCACTGGCTTTCATACAGCTGCTCAAGCCGTCTTTTAACTCCGCAAATATGTAAAATTCTTTTACGTGCTATTCCTTGAGCCTGGAATTCCTCCCAAGGATCTCCTACCCCTCCCTCCAGATGAGTCAGTTCCCCTCCTACTTCAGATGTCAGCTTAAATGTTGCCTTTTCAGTTGGGCTTTGCCTCTCTAAGGCACAGTGTTCCCCCTTAGCAGCCGGTTTGCTTTTTGCAGTTCCAGTTACCCGTGGTCAAACATAGGTGAGCATGATACAGTAAGATAGTTTCAGACAGAGAGATAACCACAGCCATATAACTTTTATTATAGGATATTGTTATAATTATTCTCTCACTATCACTAATTTATAAACTAAACTTTTCTATAGGTCTGTATGTATAAAAACATGGTACAGACAGGGTTTGGTGGTGTCTGCAGTTTCAGGCATCCACAGGGGTCTGCTGTGGGTCCCTCAGCATTCTGTTTCAACCCTTGTTTACTTCCTTCAGATACTTCACTGTTACTAAGAGCAATTTATCCCAGGAGGGCAGGAACCCTGGCTGTTTTACTCACCATGTATCTCCAGAGTTGATTACAGTTCTGGGAACATATTCGACCCTGTATGTTTTGCAAATAAATGAATGAATTGTAGGCAAAATGTTTTATTTTACTTGAGCCTTGCTGGCTCACAGAACTGTGGAAAGTCCTGAGTTCTCTACAAGTTATTTCCTGCCCTACTGGGGGAGTGACAGAGCAGGGAATGAGGAGGTTTTCCTGTTTCTCAAGATGTTTAAACAATCACTTAGAGAGTATTTAGGCCCTTCTCCAGTTTCTCCATAGGCTCTATTAACTGTTCTAAATGAATGACCTTATAGTTTTAAAATAATGATACTGATTGTATACAGCTTTAAAAAAATCCTTTCACATAGTTTTTGCTTTTTCCATTTTATCCTCCCGATGATTCTGTGGGGTGGGCAGGGCAGAATATCTTTTATCTTCTAACCTACTTTTACTATCCTTACAGTTCTAGCAGGTGAAGGGAGAACAGCTCAGTATAAAGAGCATGACCCTCTCCCTTAGGCATGCAGGACCCGGGACCCTCTCCCTTGGTTAGGCATGTGGGACCCGGGACCCTCTTTCTTAGTTAGGCATACAGGACCCGGGACCCCCTCCATTAGTTAGGCATGCAGGACCTGGGACCTCCTCCATTAGGCATGCAGGACCCAGAACCCCTTCCCTTAGGCATGCAGGACCCAGAATCGCCTCCCTTAGGCATGCAAGATCCAGGATGAACTATGATTTGTTGGTGACAATGGTTTTCTATTTGACACTTCAACTAGACAGTTAAACAACAACCTGTCTGAGCCAAGTTCACACGGAGCTTTGCTGTCAGTAAGATTGGCATGTTCTGGAATTATGTGGATATGGGATCAATTGATGAAAGGATTATAGTTGTTTACTCTGCACTGGTCATTGTGTGGAATTTTTCTTTGTAGCAAGGAGATTGTAAAATTGACAGTTGACAGTGAAATCAGATGAGCTCCACAGTGACAAGGTGGCTAGCATGTAAGCCATCAAGAATCTTTTCTTCTTCCTAAAAGTCACACGCTGATGCTGACTGGCACATCACCTAATAAACTTCTTGGTGTCTCCTAGCCTCTTCTGATTTTGCCTACACCATATTAGTACCATCAAGGGTATTGTTGTGTGCAAATACTGACTCAGAGGAAGAGCTAACACTTCTCAAGTCCCAAATATAAGAAAGGTTATTACAAGCATTTGTTCCCATCTTTTGGCTGAAACAATTATCATTGTCCTTAACAACTTTAGCAAACATTTATAGCACTTTGACAAAAAACAAAAACATCAGGTGCTGTATTAGTTTGTAGTATGTGCTTGACTTAGTGTAGTATGTGCTTGACTCAGCCAATGGATGTGCATTTAATCAATGTTTCCTCTTAACTCAGCACTAAATGGGTATGAGTCGGGCGGAGTAGAGATATAAGACCTAGTGGCTGTCTCCTGGAGCACTTGCTGTAGTTGGGGAGGTAAAGCCAGTACATCTGAAACTACTGGAAAACAACTAAGTCATAAACCAAGTGTGTTTGTTTCCTAGGATGCCATAAAAAGTACCACAAACTGGCTGGCTTAAATAGGAGAAATGTATTCTCTCACAGTTCTGGAGGCCAGCAGTCTGAAATCAAGGTGTCAGTAGAGCCTTGCTCCCTCTGAGGTTCTAGGGAAGAATCTGCACTGTGACTCCCCCCCTTAGTTTCTGGTGGTTGGTGGTGATCTCTGGTGTTCCTTAGCTTGTAGATGCATCACTCCAGTCTCTGCCTGCATCTTCACGCAGCCTTCTCCTCTTCGTCTCCTTATATCCAGACCTCCTCTTCTTATAAGGACACTAGTCATTGGCTTAGGGCCCACCCTAATCCAGTATAACCTCATCTTAGCTACATTATATCTGCAAAGACTCTATTTTCAAATAATGTCACATTCACAGATACCAGGAGTTCGGACTTGAAGGCCTCTTCGTGGGGGACACAATTCAATCCACCAACACCCTAACAAGAAGTAGTGTAGCAGTTTAGTGCAAGTAATTTAACTTTTTTAGACCTCTATAGCTCAATTTAAGTGTAAACTGGGATAATATCACCTATATAATGGGATTGCTTTGAGAATCAAATAAGTTACTACATGTAAAAGTCTTCAGAATAGTGCCTGGCACAGAATAAGTGCTCGGTAAATGTTATAGTAACAGTATCATAGCCATAATAATATGTGAATTACACAATAATAATAATCTTGCTATGCACATGAGAAGCTTTAGATATGAAAATGCAGTAGGAAACGTCTCCCTTCAGAAGTCAGGACCTTTATCTGGGCATTAAAAGATGAGTATGCTTCAGATATGGAGATGGATATTAGGAAGTGACACACAGCACAGACTTATGACAGGTGACTGCAAGCCTGCGGTATGAAAGGTGGTATCTGGTAGTCACATGAATGCTGAGAAGAGCTTTCTTTCCTTTTTATCTCTATCACCAATGGGAGACATTTATGAAATAAGTGATGGGACAGACCTCAAGAAGGCACTTTCCTTGTAGAAATGGTACTGTCTGTAGGGTGGGTGGTTTAACAAGAGGCTGGGGAAGACAGGGTAGGACATACCAGGAAGAGGGACTGAGGGAAAAAACCATTCAAGAAAAGGCCATTACCTGTTGATGAAACCAGCTCACTGCAACTCCATTTGTAGAGATTAAAGGCAGCGTGCAGTTTTTATAATTCTGGGCCAAATCATTTAAACAAACCAAAAGAGCAGAATAGAGAACAAAAATCATTTTGTGTCTACAAGTATTTTCAGATGTTACTAATTATATTGTAGCTCTGTCATGTGTGGGTTTCATTTAGGCTTTTACATTTTCACTTTCCCGTGTAAGGGGCCTTGATGTACTCAACTGCTTGCCTCCCTGCTGTATATACGCCCTGTCTCGTAGCCAGGTCTGGGTCCTCGGTTCTGAGTCACGGTTCCCAGGCTTTGTGCAGCCTCCAGGCTTGCGGAACTGTCATCCTGTTGCTTTCTCTGGATCAGCTGAACTATAAAGCCATTCCATTTCTGATCCTTGGCAAATTTGGAGCTGTGTGGGTTTTAGGAATTGGGATACAGTGTCGATAAGTCGATATGCCTTCTTTCCTCTGACTGCTCCGATCTTCTGCATGGGGGGATGACTGCAAGGTATCACTGGCTGGGAGGCAGATGTGCTGGTTCAAATCCTGACTCTACTGCCGACTATGGTGTGGCCTTTTGAAAGTTACTAAAGCTTTCTGAACTTTTTGTTTCCATCCATAAAATGGCATAATAGTACTTACTTTATGTAGAGTAAATAAATGCAGTAACTGTTCCAAAACAGGCATTCAGGAACTGTTACTTTGCACCTTTATTTATTGTCCCCGTCATTCAGTGTTCAGCCTAACCCGTTTGCTCCATGAAACCTTTACCAATTCAGCCCCCACTGGCTTCCTCTTGCCTTAACTCTAAACCCGAGTCCAGCCTACCTAATGCTCTGTGGGGTTGTTCCCTGTTGTGCTGGTATGTACAAATGCAATGTATATGGCAATACTGGTAACTGAACAGGAGCGTCACTCCTCAGGATCCTCACTGTATGTGTTTCTTTTCAGATTCTCGAGTCAGAGGGTGGTTCATGTTGGACTCTTACCTTCCTACCTTTTTTCTTACTGTCATCTATCTGCTCTCAATATGGCTGGGTAACAAGTATATGAAGAACAGACCTGCTCTTTCTCTCAGGGGTATCCTCACCTTGTATAATCTTGGAATCACACTTCTCTCCGCATACATGCTGGCAGAGGTAAGTGTTTACGTAGCCAAAGCTGAAATCCAGTAACTGAGCAGTTGTTATTAATAGAATCAATCACATCTAGGCTGGCAGAACTATGCAAGGTTGCTATCAGTACTGTTCTTTAAAACCTAAAGAACTTATTTCAGCATTTGAGATTATTTTTTTTTAAATCCTGGAAGTCCTTGTTTATAACTTGAATATTTCTTATCCCAATTTAGACCTGTTTCTTTCTTGCTTTGCTTTTTTTTTTTTTTTTTTTTTTTTGGACAGAGTCTTGCTCTGTCACCAAGACTGGAGGGCAGTGGTGCAATCTCGGTTCATTGCAATCTCTGCCTCCTGGGTTCAAGCAATTCTTGTGCCTCAGCCTCCTGATTAGCTGGGATTACAGGCACTCACCACCACGTCCTGCTAATTTTTGTAATTTTAGTACAGTTGGGGTTTCACCATGTTACCCAGGCTGTTCTCAAACTCCTAACCTCAGGTGATGTTCCTGCCTTGGCCTCCCAAAGTGCCAGGATTACTGGCATGAGCCACCGCGCCTGGCCTAGACCTGTATCTTTAGTCCCTAGTCTAATTATAATTTAGAATCACAATGTAGATCAAATGGGCCTTTAAATCATGTTACAATTTTCTCCTTTTTACAGATTATGATACTGAGGCTTAGAAAAGTGTTATAATTTGCCTGAGAATAGACAGTGATTAACACAGGATTTTAAAAATTAAACATCAAATGCACTAGTTTTACTAAATGCTAATACATATATTCCCTTAAAGAATACTCTCTTTGTCTTTGGAACACTGATAGAGGTGTGGCTGTTTCTCAGGACTGATGCGTTGGGCCTGAGCTGATGTTTCAGCTCAGCTCTAGTGGCTCTTGTTACATCCTGTACTCCCAATTCCTCCAAACCAAACCAAGGACCAAATCAAGGTCATTTTACAGGAGAAGGAACAAGGATGATTGCCCTGTCTGAATAACCAAAAGTTGTTTTAATGTAATAATAGAAGGGGAAATCTAAAAGTGTGAAATAACTTACTCTAGGGAAAAAAAAAGAAAGAAAAAGAGGGACAAAGAGAACAAAAACATAACATTTTTTAGGGGATAGATAAAATCATTCATACAAGCTATAAGCAGCTGATAATGGCAAAAATATAGCTGTCCTATCTGGTGATCTTGAATTCTAAAAGAAAATAAATCCTTGCCTTAAAATGAAGGTTCTCTTGAGGGTTTATTCTATGCATTATTCTAATATGTACCATTCTAATCATGGTTAATAACTATTAATATTACCATAAATGACGGGAATGAAGCTCTCATAATAGAATTTTAGGCATCAGTCAGTGCAGGATATGGAATTTTGGGATCAAAAAGCCATGCTGACAACTTTTTTTTTTTTTTTTTTTTTGAGATGGAGTCTTGCTGTGTCCCCCAGACTGGAGTGCAGTGGTGCGATCTCGGCCGATTGCAACCTCCACCTCCTGGGTTCAAACGATTCTCCTGCCTCAGCCTCCTGAGTAGCTGGGATTACAGGTGTCTGCCACCATTGCTGGCTAATTTTTGTATTTTTTATTTTATTTTATTTAGTAGAGATGGAGTTTCACCATGTTGGTCAGGCTGGCCTCAAACTCCTGAGCTCAGGTGATCCACCTGCCTTGGCCTCCCAAAGTGCTGGGATTACACGCATGAGCCACTGTGCTGGGCCAACAACTCTTAAAATCATATCACATAGGTGCTCACTAATCTACTTGACACTGAAAGGACCATTTTTATTTTAGGTTCTCTATTAGCTGAATTTTAGCTCACTAGATGAATTAGCAAGATAGTAATTTATGGCATTAGTTTCCTATATAGCAGAAGGAAAGATACTCTTGGATTGTTTTCCAGAAGTGACAGCCTCACACTATTTACAAGTAGCAAAGACTTGGAACCAACCCACACGCCCATCAATGATAGACTGGTTAAAGAAAATGTGACACACATACACCATGGAATACTATGCAGCCATAAAAAAGAATGAGATCATATCCTTTGTGGGGACATAGATGAAGCTGGAAGCCACCATTCTCAGCAAACTTACACAGGAACAGAAAACCAAACACCACATGTTTTTAGGGGATAGATAAAATCATTCATACTCATAATTGGGAGATGAACAATGAGAACCCATGGACATGGAGGAGAACATCACACACCTGGGCCTGTTGGAGGTTGGTAGGCAAGGGGAGGGATAGCATTAGGAGAAAAAACTAAGGCATGTGGGGCTTAAAACCTAGATGATGGGTTGATAGGTGCAGCAAACCACCATGGCACATGTATACCTACATAACAAACCTGCATGTTTTGCACATGTTTCCCAGAACTTAAAGTAAAATTTTTAAAAATTTAAAAAAGAAGCACCTGCAGCAGAAGGGCCAGCCTGCATGTCCAACCACACCAGCAGCTCTAGTACCTGTTTGGATGGAGCTTTGGTGTAGTGGAGTTAGAAGACACAAGTTTAAGTGTTAAACCTATCTGTGTAATTTTAGAGAAGTTATTGGGCTTTCCAAATCTTAGACAACTTATCCTATAAAGCAGAGATTTATCCTACCTAACTCTTGAGTGATTTGTAAGGATTCATGACTTTTTTACTAGGCACTGTGAAGCCCTGAAGGTATAAGATGGGCCAGGCACAGCTTCTGCACTTGAAGAGCTTGTGGACTAATACAGAGCAGGAGTTGGTAAATGTGAAAATGCTTTGTGAACTGTAAAGTGCTAGTTGAACAGCAGTCACCATCACCAGGAACAAGAACAATGGTTTAGTTTTTGAACAACGAGGTAAATGTCTTTCTAGGAAGAACATACCTGCAGTGAGCCCACTGCCTACCACTGATTTTACATACTGCTCACTCACTCTTTTACACTTTGTATCTTTTAGTTCAAAATCACCACCATTGATTGCCACGCAGTCTCCTCTCTTTGATTGTGACCTCTTTCAGAGCAGGCGAAACGTCTTTCTTTGACACTCAGGGGTATGTTTAATAGACACTAGTCAGGTGACAGACTGATTCAACCTTGCTAACTTGTTAGGCACCAGCAGATGTTTGCATAAGCTGGAAAGACACTGCAATAATTAACAGTCTTTCAACAAATATGTATTGAGTTCCTACACTGTCAGATTCGATTCAGATTCCAGAACACAGCCTTTGCCCTGTGGGAAAGAGTTAGGAGCTGGTGATGGGGCAGGCTCTGAGAAAATGACATTGGAGTTGAGACTGCAATGATACAGTGGACAGAGGATCAGTGGTTCAAGATGAGGTAGAAAGATGGCAGATGACTTTGGGGCCTTGAAAGGAATTTGTCTAGCACTCTAAGTGTAATGGCAAGCTATTGGAGGATTTTAATGATGGGAGTGCTATTATCTCCCTTTTAAAATAGATCACTCTACATAGAAAATGGACTATGAGGGTGAGTTGGCAAGAATGTTAGCAAAGAGTCTAGTTAGATCATTGCAGTACTGCAGGCATCTTGGATTAAGGTGGTGAAGATGGGGAGAAGGTGGTGGATTCTAAGTATATTTTGGAGTAATTTAGTCCTACACCTCCTTACAGCTAACCTTATTTGACAGCCTGGCTTCCTTTTCTTCAAAACATAGGTTGGATGACTTCTGCAGATTAAGAATGGTCCAGGGTGAGACAGACAGAGCCTCTCTAGCATGGCTGCCTATTCAAGCTATTAAATTGTCAGGTTTGCACAGATGCCACAGGAATGGGGACAGCCAGAATAAATCTGAGTAAAGCAGGAAATGTCATGGGGAAACAGAGAATATGCCCTGTCCTCTCCACACTCAGGAGTTACAGAGTAGCTATTGTTAATGTGCAGAGTAGAGATTGGAGCCCCTTACTACAGAACCACAACCTGACCAGAGAGGTTTTTAATCACTCCTTGTACACAAAGTTAAACAGCTTCCTTAGTTTGAAAAATGCACCAACACACCAAAGTTTGTATATAGATTAAGGTATTTCTGGGTCTCCTCTAGGGTGTCACTGGTTTCCAGTTGAGAACTAAGAGCATAAATCCCCTGGGAGATACTGGGAAGATTTGTAATAGATCCAAAAATCCAAGGTTTTCTTCTTTCACTGGACTTACTGATGTTGATAATCTTTAATTAGCATGATGTTAACAGAAAGGTTTTCTGTTAAAAGAGAGGTATATCAGGACAGTGAAGAAGTCTCACAAAGGTTCTAAAATGTTGTAAATGTTGCTTAGTAATCTTTCTCTCTTACATTTAATTAGTTAACATCCAAACTCTCTCAGCTATGTATATGTATTTTAATGAATCTATACCTTTATATATCTCTAAGGCAGCAAAAAATATTAAATAGTAGGCTTTTTGCCTATAATACCTGATCCAAATCAATGCCAAATGCCTTATGTCCTAGAATTTTAACTTTTTACAGGGAGAAAACTTCTTTCATAGAATTTTCAACAAAGAATAAAAAAACTCCTTTTCTCATGATGTGGAAAGTACAGTAAACAATGAATTAGGAAGTCTGAATTCTAATCATCCTTCTACCACTTTGCTGTCATGTCGTCTTGAGCAAATCATACACTCATCAAATGTTTACTGAGCACTTACCACGTAGCAGGTACTGGGCAAGGAACTGTAGATACAAAGATGAGCAAAAACAGATGCATAAAGCTTTTGGAGCTTTTTGGTTTTGGGGAGCAATGGGGAAGATAGACATTAATCACTAAATTGATTACCAAGTAGTGTAAATGCAATGAAGAAAATGGGCTTAAGAACCTTACTGAACCCTGTTTTTGTATCTGTAAAATGGCAATATATATATTTAAAATTGAGATGATTAAGTATATCTAAACACAAAATATTAAATTTTTACTGTCGTTTTCTCACAGTTGTTTTCAACTAATTCTACATTTCATTTGTCGAAACGTGACTAGATAGGTAATTCCTTACATAAAATTATGTGACTCAAATCATAGTTAAAATCTGTTATTTGACCGATGTAAATAGTTAGAGGTAACATATATTAATTAAGGAAGTAGTCATTGATGTCAGTTCCAACAGCAGGAATTAAGTCCCTTGATAATAGGTGTCTGAGGAGAGGATTGAGACAAACTCAAATTCTGGGAAATTTCTACTCAAATCTTGAATAGATGCCAGAGAAATGAATGGTAAATTCAGTCTGCTTCCAAATTCCTGTGCTGATGTTTGTTTTTCTTTCTTTCTCCGTTCCTTGGCAGCTCATTCTCTCCACTTGGGAAGGAGGCTACAACTTACAGTGTCAAGATCTTACCAGTGCAGGGGAAGCTGACATCCGGGTGAGCCACTAGAAGCAAATCAACCATTTATAACCAGTTCTCACTGACAAGGAGCTTTCTCCTTCCAGATAGGGGGCAGAGGCTAGAATGAGATAAGAAAGGGGTTCCTGTTCTAATAGAAATGCTTGGTTGCAGGCTGGGTGCAATGGCTCATGCCTATAATCCCAGCACTTTGAGAGGCCAAGGTGAGCAGATCATGAGGTCAGGAGTTTGAGACCAGCCTGGCCAACATGGTGAAACCCCATCTCTACTAAAAATATAAAAAATTAGCTGGGCATGATGGCATGTGCCTGTAATGCAGCTACTCGGGAGGCTGAGGAAGGAAAATTGCTTGAACTGGGACCCGAAAGGCAGATGTTGCAGTGAGCTGAAATCACGCCACTGCATTCTGGCTTGGGCGACAGAACGAGACTCTGTCTCAAAAAAATAAATAAAAAAGAAATGCTTGGTACAAAAATGATTTCCAACTATCTGTCTGTAGGGGCCTGGCTGAATAAACTACAGCACATCCACATAGCAGATGCCTCTACAAAGTAGAGTGAGGGAGAGCTCTATGCTGCTTCAGAATTCCCTAGGATATAGTTATGTGAACAAAAACAACTTGCAGACTGTGTTTATTGGATAGCACCCTTTGTGCCAGAAATGATACGAATGTGTATGTGTATTTGCTTGTATTTTTAAAAAGAAACAATGAGAGGATAAACTAAAAGCTAATAAAAAGTGTTTTATTTCAGGGGAGGGAACAGAGCAGAGGGGATACAGTGGAAGCCAGAATTCTCTGATTGTACCTTGTGCTATATTTGATTTTGGAACCACTAAGCGCTTTACATAATTATAAAACAAAATTAAATTTAAAAAGAAAGCAAGCCAGCCTCCCCCCAAAAGTTGGAAACAAACTTAAATAAATGAATATACCTGTATATTAAGTTGGTGACGTAACCACCCAAGGAATTATTTCAAATGACTTTAAAACAGTTTTTTTGACTAAATGCCCCTAGTGAGATATATCTTAACGGTATTCAGTAATTTTTTGTTACTGTTAGTAACATTGGTATTGCTTTTTTGACACTGTTATAGTATACTATGGGATAAATTAATTATATAATGTTAATATCACTAGGCACTACGATTTGAAACATGGAAAAAAAGAGATACCATAAAAAAGTTAAACTAGGCCGGGCGCGGTGGCTCAAGCCTGTAATCCCAGCACTTTGGGAGGCCGAGATGGGTGGATCACGAGGTCGAGAGATCGAGACCATCCTGGTTAACATGGTGAAACCCCGTCTCTACTAAAAATTCAAAAAATTAGCTGGGCGTGGTGGCACGTGCCTGTAATCCCAGCTACTCAGGAGGCTGAGGCAGGAGAATTGCCTGAACCCAGGAGGCGGAGGTTGCTGTGAGCCGAGATCGCGCCATTGCACTCCAGCCTGGGTAACAAGAGTGAAACTCCGTCTCAAAAAAAAAAAAAAAGTTAAACTAAAACTCATTAATCATAACTATTCTTTTTTAAACATTTAATTTTTAGCTCTGTCTACAGAAATGCCTAGTCTATGACAGCCCAGTACAACGAGCAGTGATTACCCAGATTGTACTCTTAAATATAATGTTCTCCAAAAAGGATTAGCTTTCTTAGATAATAGGCTTCTTCCGGTTTGGGACAGGAAATGTTTATAAGATGAACCTAGGACATCTATGACAGAAAGCAAAGCAGCTATCCAGGATGAGGATCATCACAAAAAGGCAGGAGTTGCCTGAAGGGACCCCACTGCCTAAAAATGGGGCAGGTTGAACATCAAAAAGAATACTGACTGGAATGAATTGAAGCATTAAATATGTACAAAACCATGAGTTTAAAATGATACTCATTTTAAAAACTCTCATTGTTACCTTTTGAAGGGTGTTAGAACACCAATTCATTTTAGGAAAAAAAAAATTATAGGGAAAGAATTAAACATTTATCTTGCCTTTCATACATGAATTTTCAAATAGATGAAAAGGGAAAGTTCTCTGTAGAAAAGAAAAATGCTTAGTTAACAATAGAATTAGAAAATCACCATTTTGCAACTCCTAGTGAAATAATGGATAGTATTCGTTTGTTTTGCGTTGCTATAAAGGAATACCTGAGGGTGGGTAATTTACAGAGTTTTATTTTGGCCCTATGGTTCTGCAGGCTGTACAGAAAGCACGGTGCCGGTATCTGCTTCTGATGAGGCCCTCGAGAAGCCTGTAACATGGTGGAAGGTGAAGGTGGGGGCAGGCACGTCACATGGCAAGAGAGGGAGCAAGGCACAGGGAGGTCCCAGACTCTTAAACAATCAGATCTTGCAGTAACTCACCTCAGGAAGGGCACCAAGCCATTCATGAGGGATCTACCACCGTGTCCCAAACACCTCCCACCAGGCCACACCTCTGACGTTGGCGATCACATTTCCACATGAGATTTGGAGGGGACAGACATCCAAAGTATATCGTGGATCTGACAGCAGTTATCTGTGAAGGGCAAAACTATTCGGTGAAAATTGAATAGAAACTTCATAATGATTGGACTAAACAACTGAACTCACGGTTCAGTCTCAATATCAGTGGAACAGCCAGAAATTATGTACCTCCTGATGGGAGGCAGTAGGAAGTAGACAGAACCCTCTGAAGTATCAGTACAAAAAAAAAAAAAAAAAAATTACACCTGAATCTAATCAAGCCTGTAAATCTAATTGCCAGTAACAGAAAATGCATGTGTAGAGAAACGAGTTAAATGACACTAAGAAACAATCATACAAACCTGTAATATTAGAAATTATTTATAAAGGATCTAGTTTTTCTAAGAATTAAGACATGAAAAAATGAAAGGAGCTAAGAGAGAGAACTGTTATTGGTTAGCAGAGACTTAAAAACCATTGGAAGTTGGATTTTGTTTGGATCTTGATTTAAACTAATTATAAAAACATTTTGGGAGGTGGCTAGGGAAAAGGACATTTTCGAGACAAATTTGAATGTGGATTGGGCCCTTAGAAGATACTAAGGAATTGTTAATGTTGTTAGACAAGATAATGACTTCATGCTTATGTTAAAAAGTTTCCCTATCAGAAGTATTTATAAATAAAATGATTCCTTGGATTTGCTTACAATATTCTATACTTCCTACTCCCCTGTTCCCCGAAATGGTGGAAAATGGAATTGATAAAAACTATATTGGAATCATATTGAAAATTCTGAAGTTTAGCATTGGATACGGAGTATTCATTTTACTTATTCTCCCTGCATTAGTGGATGTTTGAAATTTTCTATAATTAAACATGACATATTAAGACAGACAGTAGACACCATTTAGCTAAAATCTTTAATATCAAGATGGACCTTTTATTTTTTGGGGGGAACAGAGTTTCACTTTTGTCGCCCAGGCTGGAGTGCAATGGCACAATCCCAGCTTACTGCAACCTCTGCCTCCTGGATGCAAGTGAGTCTCTGGCCTCAGCTTCCTGAGTAGCTAGGATTACAAGCGTGCATCACCACACCTGGCTAATTTTTGTATTTTTAGTAGAAACGGGGTTTCGTCATGTTAGCCAGGCTGGTCTAGAACTCCTGACCTCAGGTAATCCACCTGCCTTGGCCTCCCAAAGTGCTGGGATTACAGGCATGAGCCACTGTGTCTGCCCAAGATGGACATTTTAAAAACATCTTCAAAACTGCAATACAAATAAAGTAAGACATTGATTTCTCTGCATTCATTTTTATTTCTAATGCATTACCACAAACTCATGCATTTTGGGATACCATACAGTTCTCTAAAGGTTGTTTTTATTGTATTTTAATATTTCTGAAGGTTAATTATCCCATCAGACATTAAGATGGTTGCCACCACACCTTATGCTGATCTTCTTGGGAAGTAGATAGTAGAGCATGATATTTTAACTCCAATGTTCCTATTATGTAATGTCTTTAAAAGTATCTTAGGTTTAATGTTAGTGGTAAAAACACAGTGCTTTTAACTAAAGAAGTGTCTCCCTGTAGATGAGACTGACTGAGGGCCTAAGGGAAAGGATGTGGTTATCATGACTTCCCACTGTTAGCAGGGATAAATAACATCTCGATTTTTAATCCAGTCATCTGAGGAAAAGACACAAAAAATGTAGTCATAGACTGCCCTTGGACAGTGTGTCTAAGAGACAAAAAAACATGTACTTTAGAAGAGCAGAGGAAAATTATAATCTAATGTAACAAACAATAATGACCTCCTGTTGAGTGCTAGGAACTGAGCAAATGAGAGTGACAGTTTCTGCCTTTGAGTGATTTGCAATCTATTGATAGATTCATAACCCTAGCTACACTCTATTATGGCTATTGATTATGGAGCCATAAAGCAATGTGAATACAAATGAAGCAGCGGTTCAGCCTGAGAAAGGAAAGGGCTGGGAATTTCCAGAGAAAAGGTGGCATTTAAGAGGAATATTAATAAAGGATGACTAGAATATGCAAGACCTGAGGAAAGGAAGGAGTGCTGGGAGCAGGGAGAAGAGTTTTTATTGCTGGAGGAGGAGTAAGCAGGCCACTGTCCCAGTGCACAGGACACCATGGTGGGGAGCTTGCAGGAGGCTGGTGGGAACAGCAGCCAGCCAAGCCCATAGGAGATCCTGGGTTCAAGCCAGGAGTCATGGACTTGGTTCTGCAGGTACAGAGGAATAACCTGATCTCACATGTGTCCTGGGAAAATCACTCGTTTCTCACTAGAGTGGGGTGGATTGCTTGAAATAAGGAGGAACTGGAGACAAGCACACCAGGTGAGCTGCCTTTTCGGCAGTGAGAAAGAAACCATAGGAAAGCTCAGGCAGCACGCAGAAAGCTGAGAGGTGGGGTGGCACCAGGAACATTCCCATTTCTCATCCTTTTCCCCTCTTTGCAAATCTCTATAGGTAGCCAAGGTGCTTTGGTGGTACTACTTCTCCAAATCAGTAGAGTTCCTGGACACAATTTTCTTTGTTTTGCGGAAAAAAACCAGTCAGATTACTTTTCTTCATGTATATCATCATGCTTCTATGTTTAACATCTGGTGGTGTGTCTTGAACTGGATACCTTGTGGACAAAGTAAGTTATTTTGTAACTTTTTCCATTTTGAGGAATAGCTCTTACAGAGACCACTGGTGCGGTCTTGTGTTGAGCACATGCAGATCAGAAGAGCATGAAGGGAGGTCTAGAGTGCCAGCCTCACCATGGCAGGACACCTGTATCTGCCAGGGACCGTGTAGTCTAGGGTCTGGTCTTTGATACAGGCAAAATCTGAGCTGAACCCTAAACTGTGTTCATTTCTATGCATCCTGTGTCCCATGGTCAGAAGCACAGACCCTAGTGGGAGCTGCAACACTCCAATCCCAGGTGCTGTTTGACTCCTGTGGAAGTACATCACCTTCCACAGTCACCACTTACCTGTGAAACAGATTGAGGCATTTCAGCTTTTAAGGTTTCTTGTTTTCACATTCTGAAAAATTAACGTTACATCCCCGAATGACCTACCAGATTTTCCATTTTTTTAAAACTGAGATTTACAATAAGAAATAAACTTTATATCACAACCCAGTGCACTCATTCATATTTGTTCCTTTACTTTTTTTTTTTTTTTTGGTGATGGAGTTTCCCACTTGTTTCCCAGGCTTGAGTGCAATGGCGCAATCTCGGCTCACTGCAGCCTCTGCCTTCTGAGTTCAAGCAATTCTCCTGCCTCAGCCTCCTGAGTAGCTGGGATTACAGGTGCCTGCCACCACACCCAGCTAATTTTTTGTATTTTTAGTAGAGATGGGGTTTCACTCTGTTGGTCAGGCTGGTCTCAAACTCCTGACCTCAGGTGATCCACCTGCCTTCGCCTCCCAAAGTGCCGGAATTACAGGTGTTAGCCCCTGCATCTGGCCCTTCTTTTTTTTGTTTGTTTAAGAGCGACAGGGTCTCACTCTTCTTCCCAGGCCAGAATGCAGTGGTGTAGTCATAGCTTACTGCAGCCTCGACCTCCTGGGCACAAGCCATCTTCCTGCATCAGCCTTTCAGTTCGCTGACTATATGCATGCACCCTGCCCAACTAATTTTTTTTTTTTTTTGTAGGGCTGGGCATAGTGGTTCACATCTGTAATCCTAGCACTTTAGGAGGCTGAGACAGGTGGATTGCTTGAGCTCAGGAGTTTGAGACCAGCCTGGGCAACATGGCAAAATCCCATCTCTACCAAAAAAAAATGCAAAAATTAGCTGGACGTGGCGACGTGCACCTGTAGTGCCACCCAGCTCCTCAGGAGGCGGAGGTTGCAGTGAGCTGAGATCGTGCCACTGCACTCCAGCCTGGGCAACAGAGCCAGACCCTGTCTCAAAACAAAAAAAAGTGTAGACATAAGATGAATTTAATTATATTTAACTAAAGCAATATACTCTTACATGATTTCTAGGCCCCATGACCCAGTATCTAGAGGCATTAATTGTAACCAGTTGTTTGCTTTTAAATGAGCAATTTCATTTTGGGAAACAGGTTTCAAATGAATGAATACATACACATTGGTAAAATTACTCTGTGCTGGTGTAGTCTTATTAGAGAATGTTTATGGTCCCACTTGTATATGAAAATGAGGTTAGAATATTAATTGGATAATGTATGTATGAGAAGTTAAAATACATGAAGTATGGCTTCAGCCAAATTTTAAACACTGCAAAAATTTCTTATAGGAAGAGAGAGCTCTCTACGTGAAGATGTCTTGTTTTATATTTCAGATTTTATTTTAAGAGCTGCGTCTGGCCCAGGTGCCGTGGCTCACACCTGTAATCCCAGCTACTCAGGAGGCCGAGGTAGGAGAATCCCTTGAACCCAGGAGGTAGAGGTTGCAGTGAGCTGAAATTGCATCACTGCACTCCAGCCTGGAGACAGAGCAAGACTCTGCCTCAAAAAAAAAAAAAAAAGCTGTGTCAGTTAAACAAGAAAAAACACAAAAGAACCCCAGATTCCTGGTTCATCATTCTGTATTCTTGAACTCCCTACCTCAGGTGATCCGCCCACCTTGGCCTCCAAAGTGCTTGGATTACAGGCGTGAGCCACTGCGCCCAGCCGCCATCATTCTGTATTCTTAATCACTTTTTCAAGTTACCTGTTTTGTTGCATGAACTAACTGTTAACTATTCATGGAACAGCAAACAAATGCCTATTTAATAAAGAACTCTGACCAAGGCTATAAATGCCATTTACATTATTTTCAGTGTTGTTGGTTATATTTAAATCTTCTTTATAATAAAGCACACTTGTTTTTTTTTTTTTTTTTTGAGATGGAATCTTGGTTGTCCAGGTTGGAGTGCAGTGGTGCAATCTTGATTCACTGCAACCTCTGCCTCCCAGGTTCAAGTGATTCCCCTGCCTCAGCCTCCTGAGTATCTGGGACTACAGGTCCACACCACCACGCCCAGCTAATTTTTTTATATTTTAATAGAGACAGTGTTTCACCATGTTGGCCAGGATCGTCTCAATCTCCTGACTTCGTGATCCACCCACCTCGGCCTCCCAAAATGCTAGGATTACAGGCATGAGCCACCGTGCCCGGCCAAAGCACACTTATATTAAAAAACAAAACAAGTGTAGAGACAGGGTCTCTCTGTGTTGCCCAGGCTGATCTTGAACTCCTGGGCTCAAGGAGTCCTCCCACCTCAGCCTTCCAAAGTGCTGGGATTACAGGTGTGAGCTACTATGCCTGGCCCTCATTCATATATATATATTTTTTTTTCTGAGACAGAGTTTCGCTCTTGTTACCCAGGCTGGAGTGCAATGGCGCGATCTCGGCTCACCGCAACCTCCGCCTCCTGGGTTCAGGCAATTCTCCTGCCTCAGCCTCCTGAGTAGGCTCATTCATATTTCTATGTTTTATATGAAATTTTATGAAACAGTATTTACCCTGACTCTGTATGATGCACTGTATTTTTTTAATCCTGTTTCACTTTTACAAAAAGTTGACAACTCTCACTGCATTGACTTCACCATTCACTAATGGGTCAGTTATGACCTACAGTTTGCGATGCACTGAGCTAGAGAGAACAGTACTTTCTATTTGATACTGCCCTGTACTCACAAATTTAAAAATATTACATGAAAAACCAGAACATGTAAAACTTAAGTCAAAATGACTTTGTTCTAGGATTTGGGATCCTGCAGGGATGATAGGGAAAAAAAATGCCCAGGGATATTTGGAGTATCAATGATTGAAGTTTTCAAATGAAAACTAGAGTGTAAAGAAGGAAATTGCTGGGAGTACAGTGGGAATAAATAAAGAATTGATCTCTGTCCTTCTAGACAGACAGATCAATTTCTTCAGTTTAGTTATTAAGGAAGGACAGTTACAATCAATGTCAAAGGAGAATTACCAAGGTTAAGTATTTTTATGACTGTCAGGTTTCATTACAAATCACTGAGCATCTAAAACTCAAAGCATCACTGTGTAAAGACGTAGTCCTATGAATACTGTGTGACAATTTCGTGTGACCTACCAGAGCAGCCTTTCAATTTTTTGAAATGCCTCAGTCTGTATCACAGTGAAGTGGTGACTGTGGAAGGTGCTATATTTCCATAGGAGCCAAACATTATAAGCAACAACTACTCATGGTTCATTAATTGATGGAAATGAAAAGTCAGGTGGGTAAAGAAATGGCACTGACTATGTTACTTGGTAGTCTGAATCTCTGTGTTTTCATATAAACTCAAGTGCCATCACCATTTATTTCAGCCAGCATTGGTTGAGAATTTACTATATGCATGGTGGTGTTTCTTATTTATTCATTTGCATTTAGCTATCCAGATCACTAATCTAGGATTAGAAAACCCGGATAGAGAATTTAAATTGATGTATTAGCCAGCATATGTGCAGTGCTTTTTAGTTCATACAGTATATTATCTCAGTTAATTTCATCACAACCGTAAGAGCTAGTTATTATTATCATAGCTATCATCCAGGTAAGAAAACAAAAATTTACAGTCAAAGCAATGTCTCCAAGGGGACATAGCCAATAAATGGTCCTCTAATGCCACAGTCTCTCCCACCACAGGATAGCTCACAAAACAGCCATCTGGATCCCGAGCTGACAGCTGAAAAGTATGCACTTTGTGCCAAGCATTGTTGTAAGCACTTTCATGTACTGATGAAATCCCGTAACACTGAGCTTCCTTACTTACAACAAGTGATGCATCTATGGCATCTTACCTCTTGGAGCTAAATCCTTTCAATGCTTAGCTGACCCAACATGGAACATGACCCTTTTTCCATGGGTTCCTGAAGGCTTATTCACCCATGGTGGAGGCATTTATAGAGATTTTTAATGGCAGGGACCTGGATTTTAGATATCCCTCATCCTAAATGTACCTGCGATGTGACCAGTCACTGGGAAGGTCTCGCTGGCTGCTTTCTCCTCCACTCTAGCCTTGTCTCTCTCTCGTCTCTCTCCAGCACCTCCTGGTCCCTAAGTGTCTTTCAGGTAGAATTTATTTACTTAATTATGAAAGCAATATATTTTGTCTCTGTAGCACCCTGTTCAGCCATGTACAGAAGGCTCTTTCTGCAGTCAGTATGTCTTATCAAAGGGTTAGCTAAAGCAAAGACAATTCTATTTCAGAGGAATTCTGCCACCAGCTTTAAGCTAGTATTTCTTTTCTTCCCTCAGTAGCTGATAGTAGTGACAGGTTAGAGAGACAGTAAAACCTCATAGACAAGGCGTTCCATTTGGGTGGCATTCTGAAAAGCCGTCCCAGGCTAGTCCTTCTATCATGGAGTTTTGCTGAATCCTAGAAGTGGCACAATTATTGGGGAATTTATCATTGTGGATTTTGTTATATGATCATGTCGTATGTGCTATTCATTTTCAATAACTATGCACAGAGAGAATCTCACTTGACAAGAATGAACAGTCCCTTCTGGAAAAATAGTGATTTTTATACTGTACTTTTATAGGTTTCTTTGGACCGACACTGAACAGTTTTATCCACATTCTTATGTACTCCTACTATGGACTGTCTGTGTTTCCATCTATGCACAAGTATCTTTGGTGGAAGAAGTATCTCACGCAGGCTCAGCTGGTATGTTGTCCCTTCTTTCAGCTTTTCTCCATGTGGCTTGTGGATGGGGAAAGGAAATAGAAATCTGTCTTAGAAGCCCAGAGAGCTTTTTATGTGTGATGAGGCTGCCTATTTTTTTCCCCAAAAATGGCCTTTTAAAAATTAAACTTTGTGTGTTAAAATGCCCTTTGTGCATGCAATTAGCTTGTAATGGAAAGTTCCTTGCTTTGAAATGTAAATGAATACTTTTCAAATTAATGTGTAAGTTAAATCCTTTTTGTCTAAATTTTAGCTGTGACTTTTCCATGAGAAAATAAAGGGCAATTTTACATACTAATATAATTTCAAATAAGATTGCTGGATGACAGGGCTGCTTCAGCATCTTTGTTTTATTCCCACATCATTCTGAGAATTCTGGGAGTTGATTTCTGAATTGATAAAGCTTTGCCGCAGTGTCTGTGTGGCACAGCCTGGCTTGCTCACAAAGATGCCCTCTCTGCCATCCCCAGGTGCAGTTTGTGCTCACCATCACACACACCATGAGCGCTGTCGTGAAACCATGTGGCTTCCCCTTCGGTTGTCTGATCTTCCAGTCGTCTTATATGCTGACGTTAGTCATCCTCTTCTTAAATTTTTATGTTCAGGTACGTGGAATGTAAATACTTAGCAGTAAAAGGTAATCAATCATGCACTTTCTTTTTCTTTCTGAGACAGAGTTTTGCTCTTGTTGCCCAGGCTGGAGTGCAATGGCATGATCTCAGCTCACGGCAACCTCCGCCTTTCAGGTTCAAGCGATTCTCCTGCCTCAGCCTCCCAAGTAGCTGGGATTACAGGCCCATCTAATTTTTGTAGTTTTAGTAGAGACGAGGTTTTGCCATGTTGGCTGGACTGGATTGGAACTCCTGACCTCAGCTGATCCGCCCGCCTCAGCCTCCCAAAGTGCTGGGATTTCAGGTGTGAGCGACCATGCCCAGCCTAGATCATGCACTTTTACATTATAGATTTAATTTTACTGATTACATGTTATAGTAGCACATGCTTGTTGATAAATTCAGGTAACAGATACACAAAGTGAAATTTGCATTCCTAACTCCTCTTTCCACACCTTCCTCCTCGAAGGGTAACCACAGTTAATAGTCTAGTGGGCATTTTAAAAAACATTTTCAATGCATGTACATAAAGGTCTATAAAAAATATCATTGGATTATGCATACAGTTTTCAATTTGCAGTATGTATTTGTACCATGCTACCAAAGTCTGACATCTGAACATTAAACATGAGTACAGTAAGACAGATCCAGAAAAGGTGAACGGAGCAAAGCAAGGACTTACGGTTTTTGATTTATTAAATTTCATATTAAAAAACTGTTTCCTTATCAGCTACCCTGATGTTGTAGACTATTTGGGAAAAAATTACTTTAAGGCAAACTAGGGTGGAAAGGTCACATTGACTTTTTCTTTATCAAGTGTAATTTTCTTTTTAATTATCAATTTAAATGGAAGACAGCTTCAAAATGCAATTTCAAAGCCACTCTGTTGTACAAGAATGGATGACAGCTGTAACAGACAACAGGCCTCAGGTGGTTGTAGATTTTAAATTGCTCCCTTTTGTAGGCTGGGGAAATGGAAAGCTGCGTTTAAAAAAAAAAAAGTACTTTTATATTCAAAATGGTACTTTTGAAATTGTATTCAACTATATTTTCTTTTTCAGACAAGTAAGTGCTTTATTTTTTAGTTTGCATTTGCTGAAAGTTAACCCATAGTGGTTTTATACAGTGTGGAACAATGGGAACTGAATTTTGACAGCTTTTCAGATCTTGTATTTATTTTTTTAATTTGAAAATACTTTATTGCTAAATATGCAACAGTCATCTGAGCCTTGAGCAAGTCTTTTTTATTGCATTTTAGGTTTTGGGGTACATGTGAAGAATATGTAAGATTGTGGCATAGGTACACACATGTCAGTGTGGTTTGCTGCCTTCCTCCCCATAACCTGTATCTGGCATTTCTCCCCATGTTATGCCTCCCCAACTCCCCACCCCCTGCTGTCCCTCCCGTTTCCCCTGCCAGAGACCCCAGTGTGTGATGCTCCCCTCCCTGTGTCCATGTGTTCTCACTGTTCAATACCCACTTATGAGTGAGAACATGCGGTGTTTGATTTTCTGTTCTTGTGTCAGTTTGCTGAGAATGATGGTTTCCAGGTTCATCCATGTCCCTACAAAGGACATGAATCCATAGTTTTTGATGGCTGCATAGCATTCCATGGTGTATATGTGCCACATTTTCCCTGTCCAGTCTATCATCGATGGGCATTTGGGTTGGTTCCAGGTCTTTGCTATTGTAAACAGTGCTGTAATGAACATTTGTGTGCATGTGTCCTTAGAGTAGAACGATTTATAATCCTTTGGATATATAACCAGTAAGGGGATTGCTGGGTCAAATGGAATTTCTATTTCTAGGTCCTTGAGGAATTGCCACACTGTCTTCCACAATGGTTGAACTAATTTACACTCCCACCAACAGTGTAGAAGTGTTCCTGTTTCTCCACATCCTCTCCAGCATCTGTTGTCTCCAGATTTTTTAATGATCGCCATTCTAATTGGCATGAGATAGTATCTCAATGCAGTTTTGATTTGCATTTCTCTAATGACCAGTGATGATGAGCATTTTTTCATATGTTTGTTGGCCTCCTGTATGTCTTCTTTTGTTAAGGTCCTATCTTTTGCCCACTTTTGAATGGCTTGTTTTTTTCTTGTAAATCTGTCTTAGTTCTTTGTTGATTTCTAGATATTAGCCCTTTCTCAGATGGGTAGATTGCAAAAATTTTTTCCCATTCTGTTGGTTGCCAATTTACTCTACTGACTGTTTCTTTTGCAGTGCAAAAGCTGTAGAGTTTGTTTAGGTCCCATTTGTCTATTTTGGCTTTTGTTGCCAATGCATTTGATGTTTTAATCATGAAGTCCTTGCCTATGTCTATGTCCTGAATGGTTTTGCCTAGATTTTCTTCTAGGGTTTTTATGGTCTTAGGGCTTATGTTTAAGTCTTTAATCCATCTGGAGTTAATTTTAGTGTAAGGTGTCAGGAAGGGGTCCAGTTTCTGCTTTCTGCACATAGCTAGCCAGTTTTCCTGACACCATTTATTAAACAGGGAATCCTTTCCCCATTGCTTTTGTCAGGTTTTTCAAAGATCAGATGGTTGTAGATGTGTGGCGTTGCCTCTGAGACCTCTGTTCTGTTCCATTGGTCCATATCTCTGTTTTGGTACCAGTACCATGCTGTTTTGATTACTGTAGCCTTGTGTATAGTTTGAAGTCAGGTAGTGTGATGCCTCCCGCTTTGTTATTTTTGCTTAGACTTGACTTGGCTATGCGGGCTCTCTTTTGGTTCCATATGAAGTTTAAGGTGGTTTTTTCCAGTTCTGTGAAGAAGGTCATTAGTAGCATGATGGGGATAACATTGAATCTGTAAATTACTTTAGGGCAGTATGGCCAATTTCACAATATTGATTCTTCCTAACCATGAGCATGGAATGTTTCTCTATCTGTTTGTGTCCTCTCTTATTTCCTTCATCAATGGTTTGTAGTTCTCCTTGAAGAGGTCCTTTACATTGTTAGTTGCATTCCTAGGTATTTTATTCTCTTTGTAGCAATTGTGAATGGCAGTTTGTTCTTGATTGGGCTCTGTTTAAGTCTGTTATTGGTGTATAGGAATGCTTGTGATTTTTGCACGTTGATTTTATATCCTGAGACTTTGCTGAAGTTGTTTATCAGTTTCAGGAGATTTTGGGCTGACACAGTGGGGTCTTCTAAATATACAATTGAGTCGTCTGCAAATAGAGACAATTTGACTTCCTCCTTTCCTAATTGAATATGCTTTATTTTTCTTGCCTGATTGCTCTGGCTAGAACTTGCAGTACTATCTTGAATAGAAGTGGTGAGAGAGGGCATCCTTGTCTAGTGCCAGATTTCAAAGGGAATGCTTCCAGTTTTTGCCCATTCAGTATGATATTGGCTGTTGGTTTGTCATAAATAGCTTTTATTATTTTGAGATATGTTCCATCAATACCTAGTTTATTGAGGGTTTTTAGCATAAAGGGCAGTTGAATTTTGTCAAAAGCCTTCTCTGCATCTATTGAGATAATCATGTGGTTTTTGTCTTTTGATTCTGTTTATGTGGTGAATTGCGTTTATAGACTTGCATATGTTGAACCAGCCTTGCAGTCCTGGGATGAAGCCTACTTGATCGTGATGGATAAGCTTTGTGATTGTGCTGTTGAATTCAGTTTGCCAGTATTTTATTGAAGATTTTTGCATCAATGTTCATCATGGATCTTGGCCTGAAGTTTTCTTTTCTTGTTGAGTCTCTGCCATATTTTGGTATCAGGATGATGTTGGTCTCATAAAATGATTTGGGAAGGATTCCCTCTTTTTGGATTGTTTGGGATAGTTTCAGAAGGAATGGTACCAGCTTCTCTTTGTATGTCTGGTAGAATTTGGCTGTGAACCCATCTGGACCTGGACTTTTCTTGGTTGGTAATTGCTGCCTCAACTTCAGCCCTTGTTATTGGTCTGTTCAGGGTTTTGACTTCTTCCTGGTTTAGGCTTGGGAAGATGCAAGTGTCCAGGAATTTACCCATTTCTTCCAGGTTTACTAGTTTATGTGCATAGAGTTGTTTGTAATAATCTCTGATGATGGTTTGTATTTCTGTGAAATCTGGTGATATCCCCTTTATTGTTTTTTATTGCATCTATTTGATTATTCTTTTAATTAATCTGGCTAGTGGTCTATTGTTGATCTTTTCAAAAAACTAGCTCCTGGATTTATTGATTTTTTGAAGGGTTTTTTGTGTCTCTTTCAGTTCTGCTCTTAGTTATTTCTTGTCTTCTGGTAACTTTTTTGATATTGCTCCTCTAGCTCTTTCAATTTTGACAATAGGGTATCGATTTTAGATCTTTCCTGGCTTCTCATGTGGGCGTTTATTGCTGTATATTTTCCTCTAGACACTTTTTTAAATGTATCCCAGAGATTGTGGTATGTTGTGTCTTCGTTCTCATTGGTTTCAAAGAACGTCTTTATTTCTGCCTTCATTTCATTGTTTATCCAGTCAACATTCCAGAGCCAGTTGTTCAGTTTCCATGAAGTTGTGTGGTTCTGAGTTAGCTTCTGAATTCTGAGTTCTAACTTGATTGCACTGTGGTCTGAGAGACTGTTATGATTTCTGTTCTTCTGCATTTGCTTAGTGAGTTACTTCCAATTATGTGGTCAGTTTTAGAGTAGGTGTGATGTGGTGCTGAGAAGAATGTGTATTCTGTGGATTTGGGGTGGGGAGTTCTGTAAATTTCTATTAGGTTTGCTTGGTCCAGGTCTGAGTTCAAGTCCTGGATATCCTTGTTAATTTTCTGTCTGGTTGATCTGTCTAATATTGGCAGTGTAATGTTAAAATCTCCCACTATTATTGTGTGGGAGTCTTAAGTGTCTTTGTAAGTCGTTAAGAACTTGCTTTATATATCTGAGTGCTCCTGTATTGGGTGCATATATATTTAGGATTGTTAGCTTTTCTTGTTGCATTGATCCTTTTACCATTATGTAATGTCCTTCTTTGTCAGCTTTTGATCTTTGTTGCTTTAAAGTCTATTTTATCAGA